AATTTGATAAAGATGACATAACTAACTATCACAACGCCCATTACTGGGCCCCAAAAGTACTAAGGAATCCCAATAAGAAAAGAGTGAAGGGGTCCCAACGAAGATTCAGCGTGAATGTGTGGATGGGCATTATCTCCAATCATTTGATTGGACCTTACTTTCTCCCGGATAATCTAAATGCGGAAAGCTACGAAAATTTCCTGAGAGCAGACTTGAGTGATTTGCTGGATGATCTGCCACTCAATCTGATCAGAGACATGTGGTTTCAACACGATGGCTGCCCTGCCCATTTCAGGAGAAGTGTCAGGGACTGGCTGGACACAAATTATCCAAACAAATGGATAGGACGAGGTGGGCCGTTGCCATGGCCAGCAAGAAGTCCAGACCTAACCCCCATGGATTTTCATGTGTGGGGATGCATGAAAAGTTTTGTATACAGCAAGCCGAATCCAGTTTCGTCTGTGGAAGACTTAAGAGAAAGGATTGTGGATGCAGCTAATAAAATTAGGACCATGTTGACCACTGGAGTAGTGAAGACTGGTCTCCGTAGAAGGATGCGACAATGCAGCAGAAATAGAGGCGGCCATGTTGAACATGAACTGTAGAATAAGAAAAAGTTTTGTGAAAACCTTTAATAAATGACATTTCACTATTGTTTTATTTTACTTTTTTTCGGCTAAGTATAAATTTTCTTCTTCACTGTCGCCTATGAAACTAAAGTTTTTTCAATGCATTTGAATAAAACCTTAGAGTATTATACCTCGTTAGATAGCTGATGAAACGTAGATATTTAAAAAAACATCTGCTAAACAATTGCCATAATATTTTTTTTAGAAATCCCTTCGAGAAAAATAAACTTTCTAATATATTTTTTATTTCTTTACTTTCACTTGTCTACTACGGTCTATTCAATTAACTTATGCACTATTTTAATGATTGACGTCCTAAAGCATCTAATTACACATGTAAAAATGCAATAATAATAATAATAAGATACACAAAATAAACAAAAATAAACGTAGTAGCCTAAAAATCGGCAATTTTCAATAAAAAAATTAAAAGTCGAATATCTCGAAAAGGGTTAAGTTTAGGGTAGGGTGTTTCATAGTAAAATAAGTCAGAAATGATGGGTACTCCACGCCCTTAACGGATCTAGCACGATTTTTCTTGTAACCCTGTATATATATATATATATATATATATATATATATATATATATATATATATATATATATATATATATATATAGTACGTGTCACGTTGTTTGTCCGCGATAGACTCCTAAACTAATTAACCGATTTTAATGAAATTTGCACATCGTGTACAGTTTGGTCTAACTAGAGAGATAGGATAGTGTTTTTTTTTTTTGCTAATTTAAGGATTTTTTTAATAGGACATGACAAAGGGTCATCGAAAATGGCAGAAAAACGTCTGCCTGGCAAGCTATATATATATATATATATATATATATATATATATATATATATATATATATATAAAGGTTACGCTAAAATTGTGCATTATATTCAACTCTTGCGGCTGTTCTATGGAATACTGGGAAAAACACATTCCAGATTTCCAAAAATTTCTTTTTTCGGTAGATTTTATGACAGTAAAGGGGCAAAAGGAGGTTTAAAATAATAATATCAGAGATACTTTGCAGTATGGGAAACTTCCATGACTTCTTCGTTTTAGTTTTTTATAGCTTAGATTTACTTTTTCATCAACAGTCAGTAGAAAGGGAATGTGCCTTATTCATTGCAAGGAAAATGTCAATTTTTCGTAGTATCGCAGCAATAAAACACTCGCACGTTTGATGCTGCTGCCAATCATTGGTCGGGGTATTTTACATAATATTGCGTAAATGAAATGAATCACCGACTCTTGAGTGGCAGTAAAATAAATTCCTCATAAACAGAATTCAAACAGAATTTCCGTAACGGCAGCCAGTGTCAACGGATACTAGCAATCTGCGAAAGACTGGATTATAGTACACGAGTGTGTAGGCAAACTCACGCGCACTCTTTGTTTTCTCACTTTCAAAATCTGATGGAACTGAAATATAATACGACAGGAGAAAGATAAGGCGCGGAACCAACGGTTTTACGTGCCTTCCGAAGAACGGGGGTGAAACACCGCCAGCTTTCTGTCTCCAGGTTGCCAGTGAGAACTTATTGACCAAAAGACCCAATAACGCTTTTTGGTCCGGCCCGGAATTTGAAACTTGGATCTGATGATTAACAATCGTGGTTACACCCACTAAACCATCGACGCAGTTAAAGGGCGACTTATCACTTGACGGAGTAACGATTTACGGTTATTACTTGGTGAGGCATGCAGGAATCGATAGATGCTGTAGGTTCAGGACCGTGGCTTAGGAGATTCCTTTGTCTTTGTTCAGCGGTGGACTTGTGATGAGCTGTAATGGTGATAAATGATAAAACGAGATGGTTATAGTATTGTTTATTGAAAGCCATAAGATTCTTCTGGCACGTTTCATACTTGCTTCTTACGATAACTATGGGACGAAAGAAATTGATTTGAATCTGTTATGCCGTCACCTGATCTTTACGTTCTGTTAGTTAGTTATTATTATATTATGCTCGTTGTAATAATCTATCTCAGGCACTTCAATTTAATTACATAGCAAAAACAAAACAATGCTTTAACGTGAAAAATATCTCTCACATTTCAAAACTAAAGTGCTTTTTCCATTAATGTATTTTTGACGTAGAACTCTCTAAAGATTTTCAATCTCCTAAATAATTTACTCCATTCAACGTATGGCATAGAAATTCATGAAAATAAAAGCGTAGGATTATCAAAAATGCATAGTTTTTTTTATTATTTATAATAAAGCGTAAAAATTTTATTGGTATAAGATCCACGTAAAATGAAAATGATGTATCGGACTTAGTTTGGAGAACACTCTACGCTGTCCCCCAATTACATGCATCTATAATAATATGCAAACAAACTAAATAAATAAAACAATTGTAATTTATCACTCAAATCGAACGCGAAGCTGAGATTTGTTTGTTGATACAACACTGACAAGTAAATTAAATTAAATTTTACAATAGTATTTTCATAAAAAACTATCCCACAATAAATGTTCACCGTCGCCGTCCTTTATTCTGTGGTAATAAAGTATGTTATCAAAGTATCTTGAAAAGAACTTTACGACTGGCTTAATTATTTTTACTATCTCCAGAATCGTGCATAATCGATTTTTGTATACTTTTCACTGTTTTTAATAATTTATCTTAAATTAGTTAAATATTTAATAAAATTAGTAAATATGTAAAAAGTTATTTAAATATGTACTACTTTTATTTCTTACACAATACAAAATGTTCGTAATTAGCAAATATACCTTAAATTTGGGATTGAAATTATCAATTACAATATTTATTTTTTTGAAATTATATGGGAGCAAATTATTTAACAATTTGGCATCTACATATAAAACACCATCCCTTGAGTATTCAGGTCTTTTAAATCATATTTCCTTCAATTTTTTATACATGATATGACATATTTTTCTAAATAAAAAGTATTTAGAGACTCAATATGTATAGAGATTTCTTTAAAAAAATGAACAAATTATGTCCTTAAATAACCTGGTATACTTACTGTCGAAAGCGGAATAAAATCTCGCGGGACGTGGAGTTATTAATAAATTTACATCTAGAAGCAGCAAATAAGACCTCTAAGAGCGTTTCTATGTTAATTTTGCACTGAATTTTGAACAAAAGACATCCTTTGGCGAATTATGGTTGGAATTTTATTTTATGAAACTTACTAAACTCTTGATATTTAAAGATTTAACCCTTCTACCATTACAGATTTTGTTTTCATCGTTAAGCTATTTAATTTGTTAACTTTACAAATACGCAAAATAAGCCACTACTAAAATTAAACATAAAGCTCTGCTTCTGACTGAATTTTCTTGCTTAATATCTAGATAAATAATATACATACTCCAACGTCTGGTGCCGAACTTTAAAACATATCCCCGAAATATTTTTTTGAGAAGAGAAAGATTTTGAGAGAACTTACATGTCTGATGAATCAGACATGAAAGTTCTCTCAAAATCTTCTCAAAATTGCAATTAACAATTTAATTGGTTCCGGCGAGGATAGAACTCTTTTTTTTTATAGGAGAGGGGGCCAACGAACATACGGCTCACCTGATGGTAAGTGATTACCGCCGCCCATTAACAGCTACAACACCAAGGGGTTATCGGCCTTTTAAAAAGGAATAGGCTCTTTTCTTGAAGGTCCCTAAGTCGTATTGGTCCGGTAACGCCTGCGTTCCACAAGGCTGCGTGCTATCATCAACGCTGTTTTTTCTGCATTGTAATGCCCCCTCCCCCTTAATAAATATAATATATTATTTATAATAAGGTAATTTCCCCCTTTTAAATAAAATATATATAAATGGCGTAGGGAAGTGACGACCCCATCGCCCGCTGAAGTGACGGTTATGTGACAAAACCGCTACGTCCGCGCAGTCAGTCAGCACCTTGCCAAGAGGTGTGAGCGCCGTGCCTCGGCAAAAATTGATGGTGCAAGGGCCCGCTTGTGCATATGGCCTCACCATGAAACGGCGCCGGGTCTGGGCGTCTCCCGTTAAATGACGCCCTGTATGGATGATGGAACACAGAAGATTGCGCAAAGGGCCGCTACCTGGAGGTCGTCAGGGCGCGTCTGGAGCTGGCGCTGGACGCGACAGCATGCGAACCGCCAGCCGAGCGCGAGGTGCTGCACGACCACCCAGCAGCCCCTCGCATCCATCATCCCCACCAGCTTGCTTGGTGTCGGCAGGGTCTTCGCAGACCCAGCAATCGGCACCCGCCACTGGTGGAGTACGTCGCATGCGATGGACCATCAATATGAATACAAACGCATTGCGGGCGTATTTTAGGGCGAAAGGGGGAGAAATTGGAGGTTTCGCGTATCGGGCTAGGATGCATCGTCTTTTTACTGAGCTGTAGCCATCTATTACTGTCACCGAGCAAAACCTGGCAGACCGAGTTCGGTATATCTTACGCTCAAGTATATTTGATGGCGCCGAACTCGAACGGCTACGACGTGAGGCTGTTCCCTCATCAAATGAAAACGCTACGACTGGGGGTGCGGTGCCACAAGTTGCAAAACAACCCGCACACGTGGAAGCCGCCGAGAATACCCCAGTGGTTGCTGATTCAAATGATGATGGAACATTCACCCAGGAACTAGAAATAGAGCAAATGAGGAGTACATTGGAAGAGGCGATTATGGAAACGCGCAGTACGCCTCTCGAAAATCGACCGCGACTTCCCCGCATAGCCCTAAGCAAGCGGAATCGGGCTGTCGTGAGGGCTCTTAACCCAATGCTGGTGACCTATTTGGAAGCCAGCTGGGACCTTTGCGATACGGACTCAATTCTCTTTGGCGCCGCACTGGCAGTCTGCCGTATTATAGGCGCCAAACTTTCCACGGCTGGACGCACTACTGGACAAAGTAGTGCTATCCCAGCCTGGAGAACAAGAATTGAACAACGTATCGCAAGGGCTAGGGCCCTCATCGGCAGACTGATATGCTTCAGGTCAGGTAATACCAGGCCAAGGATTGTGCGCACCGTCAGGATGGCGTTTGCTGGGACAAGTGTTAGTTTGTCCCAGCCGGATATAATGCAAAAACTGACGGAACGCATAGACGACCTGAAGCAGAGAATCGCTGCTTGGGGAAAGCGAATTCGGCGATATACCGAGAGGTTCACATGGTTCAACCAGAATCGTCTCTTCCAGAGTGATCAGAAGAGGCTCTATAAATCATTGGAGCGACCAATGGTAAGTGGAACGGGCCCAGTAACGAATCAGGCCGACACGGTCGCATTCTGGCGCAGCCTGTGGTCAGAGCCCGTAAACCACAACGAGGGCCTTTGGACGGAAGTTGTGGCGAGTCAGTGTGCGGGTATTACGCCCATGGACCCCGTCACCATAACGCCGGATGACGTAGCAGAGGCGGTCCGTAGGGCCCGAACTGGAAAAGTCCGGGACTTGACGGGCTGCATCACTACTGGCTGAAGGGGTTCGTGGTGTGTCACACTGTGCTCGCCCGACAGTTTCAAGAGGTTCTCAACCAGAAGTCGCTCCCGAGCCTCTTCACTACTGGGATCACTCATTTCGTTCCTAAAGGCCAGGGTACCACAGACCCGAGCAAATACCGCCCCATCACATGTTTACCGACCATATACAAGACACTAACATCCATTTTGAGCGCGAGAATCACTCGTCACCTGAACTCAAATCAGGTGATGTCGCGCGCTCAAAATGGATGTCGGGGCGGCGGTCGTGGAACCAAGGAACCACTCCTTATTGACGCGGTCATTGGCAAAGTGGTGAAACGCAACCGTCGGAATTTCTCCGCCGCCTGGATAGACTACAGAAAGGCATTCGACTCGGTGCCCCATACATGGCTAAAGAGAGTCCTCGAGCTGTACAAGATTGACTGTATAGTTAGAGACTTCCTCGAGCAGTGTATGGGGCAGTGGAGTACGATCCTCTGTCATCTGGGCGAGCGGATGATGGCTGCGGAGAACCACATAAGGATAAGAAGGGGTATCTTCCAGGGCGATTGTCTGAGTCCAATATGGTTCTGCCTCTCTCTGAACCCTCTCAGTACCTTAATGGAGGGCTCCGGGAGGGGAATTTCAGCTACGGAAAGGGGGGACAAAAGTGACCCACCTTTTCTATATGGATGACCTCAAGTTATTCGCCTCCAGTCGCTCCCATCTTATGGAATTGCTAAACATCACTTGTGAATTTAGTAATTCCATTGGAATGGAGCTGGGGACGGATAAGTGTGCGGTACTCCATGCTGAGAGGGGTAGGGTTGCTCACTCTGAGGGCATAGACTTATCTATGCCCGTCAACTTAAGGACCCTTTCCGAGGCTGAAACATACCGATACCTGGGTATGTCACAGAACATCGGTATCGATGAGGCTGGTATGAAACAGTCAGTTTGCGACGTGTGTTATGCACGCTAGACCAAAGTGCTTAACAGCCGTTTGTCCGGTGTGAATAAGACACAAGCATATAACAGCTGGGTCATGCCTGTCCTCATGTATACCTTTGGCATACTCAGGTGGACTCAGACTGAACTTAGCGCCCTGGATAGAAAAGTCCGCACTACCATGACGTCCCACAGGATGCATCATCCGAGATCGTCGGTAATGAGGCTGTACTTGCCGCGAAAGCATGGTGGGCGTGGCTTCTTGAGCGCGCTCACCATGCATAATCGCGAAGTGTGCAGCCTCCGTAATTACTTCCTGGCGAGATCGGATGATCCATTCTATAAGGACGTCATTTCTTGTAATAAAGGACTTACCCCTCTATCCTTAGCCAACGAGCAATGGCAAGACCCAGCAGTGCAGACAATTTCCGACCGGGAGACCGTATGGAAGGAGAAGGAGCTCCACGGGAGGTTCTACAAGTCTCTACATGGGCCTTTCGTAGACACAGTAACCTCCCTCCACTGGCTACGCTTTGGTGACCTCTTCGGGGAAACCGAGGGTTTTGTCTGCGCAATACAGGATCAGGTTATTAAGACCAACAAATATCGGAGATACATCCTAAAGGATGGCACCATCGACATCTGTCGAGCTTGTCGCCATCCCGGTGAGTCACTTAGGCATGTCATCTCCGGTTGTTCGGCGCTTTCTAACTCTGAGTACTTGCACAGGCACAACCTAGTAGCCAGAATTCTACACCAGGAGCTCGCTCTGAAATACGGTCTCGTGGACCGGAAGTTGCCGTACTACAATTACTTGCCGGAAGCCGTACTCGAAAATGATCGCGCCACGCTCTATTGGGACCGGGCCATCATCACAGACAGGACTATTCTTGCGAATAAGCCTGATATTGTGCTGATGGACCGGGCACAGTCAAGGATATTTTTGGTCGACATTACCATTCCGTGTGACGAGAACCTCGTGAAAGCCGAAACTGATAAGCAAACAAAATATCTGGACCTGCTCACGAGGTGACCGACATGTGGGGTGGTCTGCCGACCGAAATTATTCCTGTAGTCGTCTCTGCAAACGGGCTAATCCCAGTCAGCCTCTCGGGTCATCTGAGGCGGCTGGGACTACGTGACGGACCGCTCCAGGCTCAAATGCAGAAGGCGGTGCTCCTCGATACCGCCCGCATCGTCCGCTGGTTTCTTTCACCCCCTAACCCTCGGCCGTTTGGTCTCCCCTGTCGAGGGTTTCCATCTGGTTGGGCTTTTATTTATTTATGTATTTTTTTTATTTATTTTATTTGATTGATATTTATGTATATTTATCTTTTCATTTTCGTTTATAATTATATATTTATACATCCCAACCAGATGAGAAAACTATATTGATACCCCCACATAATAATAATAAGGCGTAGGGAAGTGACGACCCCATCGCCCGCTGACGTAACAGTTATGTGACAAAACTACTACGTCGGCGCAGTCAGTCAGCGCCCTGCCAAGAGGTGTGAGCGCTGTGCCTAGGTAAATTGTGGGTGCAAAGGTCTGTTTGTGCATATGACCGAACCACGAAACGGTGCCGGGCTTGGGCGTCTCCCGTTATTTGGAGTCCATAAATGGATGATGGTACAAAGACGAACGCGCATAGGGCCGCTGCCTGGGGGTCGCCGGGGCGCGTCTGGAGCTGGCGCTGGACGCGGCAGCATGCGGACCGCCAGCCGAGCGCGAGGAGCTGTACGATCACCTAGCAGCCCTCCGCATCCATCACCCCCACCAGAAGGCTTGGTGTCGGCTGGGTCTTCTCGGACTCAGCAAGCGGCACCCACCGCTGGTAGAGCACGTCGCATGCGTTGGTCACAAACAATGAACGCAAACGCACTGCGGGCGTACTTTAGGGCAAAAGGGGAAGAAACCGGATGTTTGGCATATCGGGCTCGGATGCATCGCTTTTTTGCAGAGCTGGAGCCATCTCTATCCGTCACTGAGAAAAACCTGGCAGACCGAGTTCGGTACATCCTGCGCTCCAACATATTTGGTGACGCCGAACTCGAACGACTACGACGTGAGGCTGTTCCCTCATCGGATGGAAATGCTACGGCTGGGAATGCGGCGCCACTAATTGCGCAGCAAACTGCAAATGTGGACGCTGCCGTCAATATTCCATTTGTGGTTGATTCAGACGATGATGGAATAGTCCCCCACGAACTAGAGAAAATGAGGAGCATATTGGAAGAGTCGATGCTGGAAACGCGCAGCATGCCTCTCGAAAATCGACCGCGACTTCCCCGCATACCCCTTAGCAAGCGAAATCGGGCTGTCGTGCGGGCTCTTAACCCAATGCTGGTGACCTATTTGGAAGCCAGCCGGGACCTTTGCGAGACGGACTCAATTCTTTTTTGGCGCCGCACTGGCAGTATGCCGTATTATTGACGCCAAACTTCCCATGGCTGGACGTGCTACTCAACAAGGTAGTGCCATCCCAGCCTGAAGAAAAAAATCGCGGACCGTATCGCAAAGGCAAGGGCCCTTATCGGCAGACTGACAAGCTTCAGGTCGGGTAATATTAGACCGAGAGTTGTGCGCACCGTTAGAATGGCGTTTGCTGGGACAAATATTAGTCTGTCCCAGCCGGATATCACGCAGAAACTAACGGAGCGCATAGATGACCTGAAGCAAAAAATCGCTGCTTGGGGGAAGCGGATTCGACGATTTAGCGAGAGGTCAAGGCGGTTCAACCAAAATCGTCTCTTCCAGAGTGATCAGAAGAGGCTCTATAAATCATTGGAGCGACCAGAGGTATCACCGGATCAGGCTGACACTGTCGCATTTTGGCGTGGCCTGTGGTCAGAGCCCGTAAACCACAGCGAGAGCCCTTGGATGGAAGTTGTGGCGAGCCAGAATGCAAGTATTACGCCTATGGACCCCGTCACCATAACGCCGGATGACGTAGCTGAGGCGGTCCGTAGGGCCCCGAACTGGAAATGTCCGGGACTCGACGGGCTCCATCACTACTGGCTGAAGGGGTTCGTGGTGTGTCACACTTTGCTCGCGCGACAGTTTCAAGAGGCTCTCGATCAGAAGTCGCTCCCGAGCCTCTTCACTACTGGGATCACTCACTTGGTTCCCAAAGATCAGGATACCACAGACCCGAGCAAATACCGCCCCATCACGTGTCTACCCACTATATATAAGACGCTGACATCCATTTTGAGCGCGAGAATCACTCGTCACCTGGAGCTAAATCAGGTGATGTCACGCGCTCAAAATGGATGTCGGGGCGGTGGTCGTGGAACCAAGGAACCACTCCTCATTGACGCGGTCATTGGCAAAGTGGTGAAACGCAACCGTCGGAACTTCTCCGCCGCCTGGATAGACTACAGAAAAGCATTCGACTCGGTGCCCCATGCATAGCTAAAGAGGGTCCTCGAGCTGTACAAGATTGACTGTACAGTTAGAGACTTCCTCGAGCAGTGTATGGGGCAGTGGAGTACGATCCTCTGTTATCAGGGCGAGCGGATGATGGCTGCGGAGAACCACATAAGGATAAGAAGGGGTATCTCTCCAGGGCGATTGTCTGAGTCCAATCTGGTTCCGCCTCTCTCTGAACCCTCTCAGTACCTTACTGGAGGGCTCCAGGAGAGGGGATTTCAGCTACGGAAAGGAGGGACAAAAGTGACCCACCTTTTCTATATGGATGACCTCAAGTTATTCGCCTCCAGTCGCTCCCATCTTATGGAATTGCTAAACATCACTTGTGAATTTAGCAATTCCATTGGAATGGAGCTGGGGACGGATAAGTGTGCGGTCCTTCATGTTGAAAGGGGAAGGGTTGCTAACTCTGAGGGCATAGATTTATCTATGCCCGTCAATTTAAAGACTCCTTTCCGAGGCTGAAACATACCGATGAGGCTGGTATGAAACAGTCAGTTTGCGACGTGTTTTATGCACGCTTGACCAAAGTGCTTAACAGCCTTTTGTCCGGTGTGAATAAGACACACGCATATAACGGTTGGGTCATGCCTGTCCTCATATATACCTTTGACATACTCAGGTGGACTCAGACCGAACTTAACGCCCTGGATAGAAAAGTCCGCACTACCATGACGTCCATAGGATGCATCATCCGAGATCGTCAGTAATGAGGCTGTACTTGCCGCGAAAGCTTGGTGGGCGTGGTTTTCTGAGCGCGCTCACCATGCATAATTGCGAAGTGTGTAGCCTCCGTGATTACTTCCTGGCGAGATCGGATGATCCATTCTATAATGACGTCATTTCTAGTGATAAAGGGCTTACCCCTCTATCCTTAGCCTACGAGCAATGGCAGGACCCAGCAGTGCTTAGCATTTCCGACCGGGGGACCTTATGGAAGGAGAAGGAGCTCCACGGGAGGTACTACAGGGCTCTTCATGAGCCCTTCGTAGATACAGTTGCTTCCCTCAACTGGCTACGTTTCGGTGACCTCTTCGGGGAAACCGAGGGTTTTGTCTGTGCAATACAGGATCAGGTTATCAAGACCAACAACTATCGGAGATACATCCTAAAGGATGGAACCGTCGACGTCTGTCGAGCTTGTCGCCATCCCGGTGAATCACTTAGGCATGTCATCTCCGGTTGTTCGGCGCTTTCTAACTCTGAGTACTTGCACAGGCACATGTAGCCAGAATTCTACACCAGGAGCTCGCTCTGAAATACGGTCTCGTGGACCGGAAATTGCCGTACTACAATTACTTGCCGGAAGCCGTGCTCGAAAATGATCGCGCCAGGCTCTATTGGGACCGGGCCATCATCACAGACAGGACTATTCTTCCGAATAAGCCTGATATTGTGCTGATGGACCGGGCACAGTCAAGGATATTTTTGGTCGACGTTACCATTCCGTATGACGAGAACCTCGTGAAAACCGAAACAGACAAGCAAACAAAATATCTGGACCTGGCTCACGAGGTGACCGACATGTGGGGTGGTCTGCCGACCGAAATTATTCCTGTAGTCGTCTCTGCAAACGGGCTAATCCCAGTCAGCCTCTCGGGTCATCTGAGGCGACTGGGACTACGTGGCGGACCGCTCCGGGTTCAAATGCAGAAGGCGGTGCTCCTCGATACCGCCCGCATCGTCCGCCGGGTTCTTTCCCTTTCCCCCTAACCCTCGGCCGTTTGGTCTCCCCTGCCGAGGGCCTCCATCTGGTTGGGCTTTTATTTATTTAAGTACTTTTATATTTATTTTATGTTATTGATATTTATGTATATTTATCTTTTCATTTTCATTTATAATTATATATTTATAGAACCCAACCAGATGAGAAAACTATATAGATATATAATAATTTATTTGACTCTCAATTGACAGGTTACACTTATGTATTATATCTATTTTAAATTACAAATCAAAGTAGTTGGCGTTAACGGCCATACTAGTACAAAATGTGTTACAGCCGTCATCGACTTCCACCCTGAGTAGTACAATACAAATACAGTAAAAAATGACAGATTATTTCGCTATTTAATACGCAACCATGTTAAGTTAAATAATAAATAAAAAAATGAAGAGAAAATTTCTAATTTGTACACAAACTAATTGTGTGTGTGTGTGTGTGTGTGTGTGTGTGTGTGTGTGTGTGTGTGTGTGTGTGTGTGTGTTGTGTATGTGTGTGTGTGTGTGTGTGTGTGTGTGTGTGTTGTGTGTGTGTGTGTGTGTGTGTGTGTGTGTGTGTGTGTGTGTGTGTGTGTGTGTGTGTGTGTGCATGTAATAGTGTGTGTTTTTTGTGTGAATGTGTGTGTATGCGTGTGTGTGTGTTAGAACTTAAATACTGATTAACTTCTCTGTTTCCATGTAATTAAGGCTTAGCAACCAATTTAGGATTTTATCTTTACATTTATAAGGGAACAAAGGGTAAATATTGTTTACTTTATTTGCTACAATATATAAATAATTGCTAGTGACATAATATTGACGACGTGCTAAAGCAGTTCTATGAGAAACCATGTCACAAATTCTATTTTGGTTACGTTTAAAATTAGGTTTAAACTCTGTATTTTTGTGCTTACGTAGTATAACTGACATGACAAAAAGCTGTCTTACAGTAAGTACAGAACACTCTTTAAAGATAAGTTTGGTGCTAAATCTTTGTGATTTACCTAGCATTACCTTTAAGATTGCTCTTTGAGCACGTTCTAAGGGGAGTAAAGTTGTTTTTCCAATTCCACCCCATGTTACAATGCATTATTGTAGTAAATATTAAGCGAGAGCATAGTAAACACATATCAATGTTTCAAAGTCAGCAGAATTCCTCAATTTTCTGAATATTGGTATTAGTTTTCTAATACGGCAGGTTAAATTGCTTATATGCTCTGACCAAGATAGGCAGTAGTCAATGATAAGTCCGAGGTATCTTATGTTAGTGGAACGAGTAAGTTTTGGGCAGTTGCATAAGCTATGTTGTTCATATGTATGTGCTTTGATATAAAATTCCGCTCATGGTTGGGTACTGGCACGGTGAGTGAAATTAATATATTTAGTCTTGTTTACATTTAATGTTAATAGATTGCTACTAAGCCACCGCATAACCCTACCAAGCGCATATTCTGTATTTTATTGGGCTTCATTCCAGTCCTTACCATATACAATTAAAGCCGTATCGTCGGCGTACGAAATGATTTTGCAGTTAGGCAAGGTGCATAAGTGAGCATAAAGTATTTACGTTAACTAGAAAGAGAGTTGGGCCTAGTACACTAACTTGTGGTACACCGAACGAGACAGTAGTAGGTAGACTAGTGTAATCACCGATTTTAACTAACTGCGTGCGATTAGATAGATCAGATCGAAATATATCTAAAGCAATTCCTCGTACGTCGATCAATTCCATCTTATGCAGAAGTAGGGGAGTCGAGACAGTGTCGAAGGCCTTTGATAAATCAAGAAAAATACCTATAACTTTCAACTTATTATCAAGATATGTTGCGATTGTCTCAGTTAGAATTAAAGTTGCATCTTCAGTAGACTTACATTTCACAAAGCCAAATTGATTATCTGAAATTATATTGTTATGTTTGAGAAAATTTGTGAGTCTTAGATTTAAAACCTTTTCAAGAATTTTGGCGATAATCAATTTTGTAAGTTGTGCTTATAGATGGATGCCTTATAATTTTGCAATATAAGTGAAACACTATCGGAGCATGATCAGTAATAAACGAATCAAGTATATATGTTGCAGAATATCTATCTGATCTCAACATTACATGGTCAATACAACTTTCGTTACGAGTGGGGATTAAATGAGCTGCTAAATATCCGTGGAGCACCATTAAATTCAAATATTTACTGCTATTAAGGTCATTATTATTAGGAGAGATATTTATATTGATATCTCCAATCAAGAACTGATCTTAAAGAAGCTAAAGATGCAAGACAGAGATCAAGGCTATCACAAAATT